GCGCGGGGCCTGCGGGGGCTGCTCCAGCACCCTCTGCTTCCACCTTTAATGAAAAATCATAACGGGCTTGCCGTGGCCGTGCCTTGGATATTCCCTCTCTCAGTCTTTTCCTCCACCCTTTCATTATCCCTGCAATATTCTACAATAATAATTATTGCAATACATGTCGTTGAAGTATTTAAGTCTAAGTGATTCTGAATTCTGAGAGGCCGCAGCAGTGCCTGTTATTGTATATTGCCTTTTTTGTTAGTTATGTGTTTACTCTTTCTGCAAGCTACCTACTTTATTCCTGCCTGTTACCTACATCCTTTCTTTCACTTTGGTCTGCAGTTGAAGATCATTTCAAAATGTTGCTCCTTGTTACGTTCTTAAACAAAAATGTAGAAGTCTGTAAAAATTATAGAGCCTAGCTCAAAGTCCAGCTCAGAATCCTCAACAGTCCAATCTTAAACTCCAGGAAAAGATAGAAATTGTAAAGGCAGAATATTTGGAAAGCATCTTAGTGTCTGTCTTGTTATTTGGGCATTACCTCCTTAAAAAGTGGGATTCTGTGAATGAGGACAGAGTGTGAGCAAGAAAAGTAGTCTCATCCTGAATCTATAAAAGTAGGTCCTCAAATCTAATGAAAAGAAGATGGATATACCTATGTGTATAACCTCCCCCCCCCCTTTTTTTTCTGTCAAATCTTGGGCCAATTTTTCTTTTCTTTTCTTTAGAATCGGCAGCCACTGATGAATCAGATCAGCAGTGTCTCCAATATGAATCTGTCTTTGAGACCTGGAGTGCCAACGCAGGTGAGGGAAACTACTTTAGAAAAAAGTCCCTTTATTTCCTGTTTCTCCCCCTATATTACTAAATAGAGTACAGGTGCTATATTGTAAACACATCTGAAAATTACAAAGCAGTTCCTAAAACAACTAAAGCAGTCTAAAAGCTGACAAAGCAATTGGTTGTTTTAGAGTCTTTCCATATGCACAAGAGGCAGATCTTGCTTTCCAGAAACGTGACGTAACAGCACAATCCTTCACCTCCTCGTGGTGTTTTTAATGAGCTGCTCTGTCTGTGGTCCCAGCGCGCTGTGGCTGCAGGCGCGGGTGCTGCTCGTGCCGGCAGCGCTCCCACGGCGGGGATCCCTTCCCGAGGCGTCGCGGGGCTGTTCCCTGCCCTTCCCGTGTGGGTCGGGGCGGCGGGGCGGGCTCGCCTCACGCGGCGCTTTCCCGCAGGGCCCCCTCAACGCGCAGATGCTGGCGCAGCGGCAGCGCGAGATCCTCAGCCAGCACGCCCAGCATGGTGGCCGCCGGCGGCATCCCAGCGACCATGAGCAACCCGCGCATCCCGCAGCCCAACGCGCAGCAGTTCCCGTTTCCGCCCAGCTACGGTACCGCCTCTGCCCGCCGCGTCTCTCCGCAGGCCCCGGGGCTGCCCGGCTGGGATCGGGTGGGAAGGATGGTTTGTCCTTGTCCTGAGGCCTCATGTGTGGTGTGGTACATTCCATGTCCCCAGCCCAAGTGCTACCATTTCTCTGGGTGCCAAAAGCTCCAGGGTGCCTTGCTCTGGAGATGCATGGGTCCCTTCGCACCATGCAGCAACTGCTGCAGAGCATTCTCTGCATATATTGTAAAAATTATATCCAATATTACATCCAATATTACGTATCTCCGTGTTCAATTGATACAACTAGTACAAATTTTGTTTCACCCAATTCTAAAGTTGCCACCTATTCTATTGATCAGTTTTCCTTTACGCCAGCTTCTAAATTGTAAATTCTGTGCACAGATTTGTTATTCCTTTACAAAAATGAATGCAAAATATGCGAATTTAAGTAATACAGACAGCAGATACAGAAATAGTTTTCACAGAACCTCGTTCTTACTCCAGTGTTGAGAGTAGCTGGTTTCAGCTGAGTTTGCTGCTCTTGATGTACCTGGGGCCAAAGTGACTTGCACAGCTCTTGCACAAAATTGGCATTTTAAAATCTGCTGAAACTTACAGGCTGAGTTGGTTGCTTTACATCTAGGTAATATTCTGATTTTACAGAATTTTAAAATGCTTGCACAAAATGGCAAAAATGTAAATACTAAGATTCTAGGAACTTTTAGAAAGAGCTAAATGTTAAGTCTTAATGTTAAATGGTGGTGTCACGTAGCAAACAGGTCGTTTCACATAACTCTCACTACAAAATGTGATTTAGAGTCTGAAGCGAAATGTTTTATTTTTTTGCTGGGTTTTATGGAGTTTACACACACAAAAAAATCACTTATTGGTGTTTATCCCTGTGGCCTCGGGCAGGTGTTAGGGAGCACACTTGCACTAAGCACTTTTTGAAGGTTGTGCACGTAGCATTTAGTAAATGCTGTACAGTTTTTAACCTAGATCCTACACGGAGACACAAGCTCACGGGCTCCAGATGGGACATGCCTGCAGGTTTCAGCCCTTGCCCTGTTCTAGCCTACAGTTACCCTGGCTAAAGTTCTCGTTTCATTCTTCAGGTATCAGTCAGCAGCCTGACCCAGGCTTCACGGGGGCCACCACTCCTCAGAGCCCGCTGATGTCCCCGCGACTGGCGCACACTCAGAGTCCCATGATTCAGCAGTCTCAGGCTAATCCTGCCTACCAGTCCTCTACGGAGATGAACGGGTGGGCACAAGGGAATATGGGTGGAAACAGGTAAATTCAGGACAAAACCAGGATGAGCATACACACAGAAAAACATGTCGTTTACGGTCCATACTTTATTTATTGGTATATGTATTTGTTTGTTTGCTGTTAACTATCTGCTCCTAAAAGAGATTTCTTTTCAATTTGGCTTGATGAATTGGTTTAAATTCTATCTTTGTGCAAGGCCAAGTGAGCGCATAGCTGAAAGACCTGCATCCACACAGTGCAGTGCTAATGACTGATGAACCCTCCGTGTCCTTTCGAAGGAATAAGGCTGCACAGCGAGCTCCAGTTCCCCCTGCTTGCGTGGATGCATCTCTTCTGCGTATGCTTTTATTGTCCCCTTGCCACGCTGCCTTCCCCGAGCCTGGACCAGTGAAGCTGGAGCCTCTGCATCCTCTGCTGCTCCGGAGTTACCAGGACTGGGCATCTACATGCCCGGGTGCAGCCGGGTTCAGCCCATTTGTGCCTGCTGCTGTTTGGGGTCAGCATGTAACTCTGCTCCTCTGATAGCCTTGTGGCTACCAGGCCCCTTGTGTGCAGCCACCTTCTCAGATGAGGCCGGTGGCCCTGTCGGTGTAAATCCAGCAATTAGTCTGTCCACACTGAACGAGTCAATGTTGAACAGTGTCAGTAGGCAGCCGTGAGCTGCCAGGTGGCTCTGGTCTTGGAGTTATCGCTGTCCCTGGAGGCTGGGCTGTGCAGAGGTCTCTAGCAGAGTCCTCCTGTCCTGAAGTTCTCAAGCTGCTCTCACCATCCCAGCTCAACAATTGATATGCTTCCCACAGGTTGATACGTGTTTAATATTAAGCCAGAAAATAGTACATCAGCGGTGAGGCTGATCCAAGTAAAGTTCCCCTAAAAGCAGATGATTTGTCTCAAGATCCTTGTCCTTGTCTCTCCTTCACTGTCCTCCTGGAGCATCTACAGGAGGCCAAGAAGCTGCCCCTGTTATGGCTTCTGCTGAAACTGCAGCAGGGGCAGCTTGAGAGACTGGTGCTTGGCTTGCCAAGCTGCAGCTCTACAGGGGAGACACGTCAAAGCCATTTACACAAGCCACTGAGTTCTCACAATGATCTGTAGTGTCCTGTTTCATCCATCCAGATAACAACCTAAAAAATGGGGCTAGGTGGCCATGGAAGACGTGGAATAGGAGGAGGAGAATTGTGGGATTTTCAGAGTTTGATCCTGTGCCCGGAATGCAGCTGCATTCCGCTATCCACAGGCACTCCAAGAGAGAAAAAAGTCACAGCAAATTGTGTGTGGCTGTAGCATAATGTAGACACAAGTCTGAGGTTGAGCATTAACCACCAGAAATTCCCTCAGCTGTGGGAGCAGGGCTTCATAGGCAAGTACAAGTCTCTCTCATGATTTTCAATGTAATAGGAAAATAATACCCAGGAGGCATAAGGCACTTCAGCAGAATCTGGGCAGAACTCTTCCACAGTTAGTTTTCCTTAAGTTGCTTTGGGGAGGCCTTCAAGGAGTGTGAAGGGTAATTATCTTGGACTTTATGTTGTTTCTTACAGTGCCACATTTTTAAAAAGTGATGCTTAAAATCAGTAAATAAATTTCTGCACAATTGCATGTCTATATTTGTGAGCCCACTTGCCATAATTGTATGTGCAAATCTGGTATTCATATGTGCAAATAGCCTCTTTTGCCAAAAAGAAGCTGATTGAGTCAGGCGCAGTATCAGCTCAGCAGTCCTGTGCTGTGGTAATAATGGGGGGGGAAAAGGGTTGTTTTCCTTTCCATCCAAAAGATACTTTCCTAAATATATATACAGTCATATTCAGACAAATAATTGGCTGTTATGCACGCACGTAGCAGATTTGTACCCTCTGCCATAGTGTCACAACGCAAAGGCATGCATTTTTGTGCACAGACATGGAACCTTCAATTTTGCAAGTCTATTCCTTAGTTGTTAATGTAGCTGAAGAACAGTCTTTAGGCCAGCATAAACAGCAATATGTACAAATTCTAGTTTAAAGTATATGACAAAGAGAGTAGTTTCTTACTGGCTTCAGCATTCTAAGTCTGACACATTGCTTTTTCCATTCCTTGCTGTAGCATGTTTTCACAACAGTCCCCACCACATTTTGGGCAGCAAGCAAGCACCAGCATGTACAATAATAACATGAACATCAGTGTGTCCATGGCAACCAACACAAGTGGTATGAACAACATGAACCAGATGACAGGGCAGATCAGCATGACCTCAGCGACCTCTGTGCCTACATCAGGGTTGTCCTCCATGGGTCCTGAGCAGGTGAGAACTTAAGGACTTGAGATGACAGCTAGAGGATTTTCTTTGTCTTGTAGCTTTGCAGGTCAGTTGAGTGGGGTTGTGACTGCTTTAAGCCATTACATTTCCTGTATCAGTTCTCTTGAGAAATTATTGTGTTAAAAGGATTTCTTTTTGGCTTTGCACTTGGATAACCGAGGTGACTAATGAGGTAGAGCACCTTTGCACCCAGAGTTCCCATCTTAACTGAGTATCCCTGCAGCTAGCTCGTGTAGTTACTCCTGGAACACCTTTGGAAGGTGTGTGCTGACCTAGCCCCGGCCCTTGGTAGGTAAGTTTGGACAGCTCAGTTGACAGCCCCCCATGTTGTTGCTAATTTTCTCCACAGGGAGGCTGGGCCTGACTGTCAGGCAGCTCTCTGGAGATGGGAGTGGAATTCTCTGGCGTAGGTAGTGAGTGGAAGATGCTTCTGCCACCACTGCGTTTGTAGTACCAGGCAATAAGCAATCAACTTGGAGAACTATCAGTCTAGCACCTTCACAAGCACAAAATTCACTTTTTGTAGAGTGATGTGTATAAAATGGATTGCTAATTCAGTAGCCAAGTAACCTGTTCCTTTTTACTTGAGTTTGTTGCTTAGATTATTCAGAAGTAGGAAAATGACGTTTTCACTTTTTCAGTCCATAATTAAATTCACATAACGCATTAATAAATAATTGACAAGAAAGTCCTCCTAATTAACAGCTCTGTGTGGTTGTTTCAGAGCTGCAGTTCAGTTGATTCAACACATAAGCTTTATATTATGGATGTTCCCAGGACACTGCCAGTCAAGCTCCTCATGAATCCTCAATCTCCTGCAATTGTGGCCAGTAGAGTCATAAGACCGTCTTTTGAGATGATAAGGTTGCAGTTTAAAGCTGGTTGTATTAATTGGTTTATTAACAAATGTCTTTTATTCCAGCTTAAGAAGCAGGAAGTGTTCCAGCTGTCAGTATTTCTGACAGTATTGTCCTTTAGCTTAAATAGCCCTTTTCTCTCCCTGTATTTTAAAGAAAGGCTTTGTATTAACCTTTTTGTTTAATTAGTTTTGTTTAGTTTTGGGATTGCTGGGATGTTCTGCTTTGGGTTTCTTTTCGTTTTTTTTTCTTTTTCACTTTTCTAAGTTAAACAAGCCATGCTGTTTCAGGCTCTTCATGTAGGCTTCACATTCCTTTCCCTTTTCTGCACCTGTTCCAGTCGGAATCAATATTTCCTAGGCTCCAGTGCCATGTGCATAGCACTAATTCTTCCTAATTTCTCTTGGAAGACACTGACAGATATAGCCCCGGATCACATTTGTCTTTCACAGCTGCCGCATACTGGTGACTTGAAATAATTCTGTCACCTCCTGTGATGATTCCAGTTGCTGAGACAACTATAGCAGACTTTTTAATTAGTTCCTAAGTGCATGCTGTTGCATATTTTTAATATAGTAAAACACTAGTTAAGACAGAGAAGAGAAGGGATTTGAAGGTGACAGCCCATCTGAATGCTTAACATGCACATGCTGCATAATTTTCCCCAAGAAACTGAATTAAGAAATACACATTATAGAATAGATATGTTTTTATTTCAAAGACTCCCAATATCTTTGCAGATTGTTCCTTCCCCAGGCACAGTTGTTGCACTGTTTTTCCTTCCTGTTGAGCTATTGGGTCTTATTTCAAGATAGCATTCTTCTGACTTCCAGTAAGCTGATTAGATTGAGTTTCTGCATCTATCCCAAGATTTGTTTGCCAGACCTTCAGTTCCCTTTCTGTGGATCTACTTTAAGCTCCCTTCATTACTGTAACATCATTCCAAAAGTATGAACAGGAGAACTGGACACAGTGCTACAACAGCCACTTCACAAGTACTGTGTGCAAGTCCCAAGTGCTTCACCTCTTTTGTCTGCATTAAACAACTTTCCTTAGAGTGAGCCTGTTTACCTAAGGTGCTGTGGCTCATCCTCTAGCAGTAACCTGTTTTCCTCCTAATATTGCCACCCCTGCCCTGTGTCATCTGCAGACTGCAGCCAGGTCAGAGGTGGCCCAACTGGCAGCTGAGGGGCCATTTCTGGGACACAAGACAGGATTTTTAAGTCCTCAGGAATGCATGCTGTGCAGCTTTACATTTTCCTTTCTGGGAGGCAGGAATAAATAAAATATATATTTTTTTTCCTGTGCTTTGGGCATAGCTTCTTGTAACTTGCCACCTTTATTTAGTGGTTGACATAAACCATGCTAAACTTTTTCTTGTAACTGGTGGCTTTCAAAATGACTTTATATTTTCTTTAATTCTCCTGGCTATTGCCATTCCGTTCCTTTTTTGTTTTGTTTTGGTCACGTGTATTTTTTTACCATATTATTCATTGCCAAGTACTTTCTCTTGTTTATTTATTTATTGTTACATTAATATCACGTGCCCGTCTCTTTGCACCACAGCGGGTATCAGTGGTTGTGCTACAAACATGGTCCAGCTTTTGGGAGAACTTGGGCCTTCATGTTGTAGTGGATGTTTTTGGAAGCAGCACGTTCATGGTTAAACGCTCTGCCTGGGCAGGCTCACCTGCCGAGAGGCAACTGCTGCGTTTGTGGCTTGGACAGTTTTTTAGGCACCTGGGGGTTCAGACCTTGTCTCATGGCCACCTTCTCCATTGCAAATCACCCTAAGGGTCTCCAGGCTGCCCCGTTTTTTAGGAAGCTGCTGTCAGGAAGGGCAAGATGCCGCCTGCAGGGCCGCACGTGGCCTCTGTCCAGCCCCTTGCCCCTGTTGCGCTGTCACAAAACTGCTCCTCTCCCTGTCCTCCCCTGGTGGTTTGCACAGCTGGGCTGTTGCCTTCTCTTTGCCTGCTAGGTACTTTGCATCGTGGACACGTGTTATTTCCTGGGCCAGGAGAGAGGCAGTTTGAGACCTTTGTGGGAGGAGAGACTTTTCAGTCTATGAAATAAATCACTATCTAGATGTCTCCTGAGAGAAGATGTTTAATAATCTGCCTGCTTGCAGTACTCCCGAGGTCAAAACTCACATGGCATTCACTAAGAATCACTTTAAAAACAGTATTTTGAAAACAGACATGCTGTGCTGCATGTTGGATGAAAGGAGCTGAGGAGAGCATTGAGACTTTTCTTTCCAGGCATGTTCCAAATAATTCTGCTCTACTGGCAGTAACAGGCTTAGTTTAATTACAAAAGGGTTGTAAAACATGTTCCATCTTGTTTTAGTTGGATTTGGTAACTAATAACACCACTTAACTTGCCTTCTTACAGAGTCATCTGTAAAAAATCTCTTATTTCAGAAAAATCTTCAGAAGCCTCCTTAACATTTTTTGGTATTTTTCTTACTTTTCTGAATTGCTATTGCAGCCAGAAATATTATTGTGTTAGTATTGATTGTTGCATCTTTCTCAGTTTTCCAAAGTAAATTTAATCCTACAAATTAAAACCTGCTGTTTTGCTGTATCTATTACCAAGCAAGTCAGGACTCTTCGACGTCACTGGCAAAGAGATCTGGACCTGGAACTGAACCGATGCCTTTGCTGCTGCAGCTGTGTGCTTTTCCATAGCTCTCCTAGCTCTACACCTGCCCTTCTTTCTGTTCCAAATCTGTTTTTTAGTCAGTGAACAGTGATTTTGCATTTTTGCTTTTTATTTTTCCCAACCTTTGCCCACTGAACAAACCTAGTGTAGGCATGTTGCCTGTTGCAACAAGTTTTCTGATGAGTATTGGTAAACAGCAGAAAACCTTTTTCAAACTTTTTTTTTTTTCCTCAACCTAATGCATGTGAAACTTTCTAACAAAATAGTGTGGTTCTCTACCTTTTTTTTTTTCCTTATCTGAATTTCCAGATCAGGGTTTTAAAACCTGCCTGTTTGTTGTTGAGAAGTGCAGGGCATCAGCAGGAGGCTCGCAGGGCTTGAATAATTAGTTGCTTCTGAGTTGAAAATTCTGAAGCAAAACCCGTTAAGTTTCCAACTTTTCCTTTTTTTCTGCATTCTCCTCTGGCAGCATCAGAGACCACCTTTTTAAGCATATTGGTGCACATGGCTTTTGCAGCTCCTTGCAAAATCCCTGCATAGCAGCAGAAATGGGGCCATCCGAAGGGCTTGAAACAAGAAGGAAAATTCCAGACTGTCTCCCCTTGCTGAGCAGGTTGTTACAGCTGAAATGAGGCAGTGCAGCGGCAGATCCTCTGCTCTGTGGCACCCCAGGAGCCTCCCACAGGGCAAGGGCAAGGGAAAACATCGTTTTCCTTCCAGCAAAATCTAGAGAGGCAGATCCTCAGTATTGTCCCACCTGACTGGTGTGCTGGAAGCGTGGGCGAGTAGTGAGACTCTCGAGGAGGAGGATTCTTTCCCTTTAAAACTTCCAAGGAAAGTTGGATTTACTAATGCTGAGAACCTTGCTGAAAAGCTAATGTTTTGTATTCTGTATCCGTTCCTACATAGTAAGATAAATCCTTTGAATAAAAAAGAAATGCTGTGGATTCTGCCAGCCTGTTTTTCCACCTAGTGAAGCTCGACAGACCCTTTGGACGCGCAGAAGTACATGGGTTCAGTTCTTCCTGTGGCTGCGTGCAGCAAACTGTGAAGGAAAATACAGGTTTTCCCATTTAATCCTATCTTCCTTCCATTGCTTACAAGCAGGGAAAGATACGTCATTAGAACTAAATCAACCCTGAGCATAATCCAGGCTATCTGCTTTCCCTTCAGGCTTGAAAACATTACGTGATGAGCTGCAAAAGCAGAAAGTTTGCAGGCCACTGAGGATAGGAAAGTAGCTACACATTCCTAGATAGAGGCCCTTCATAGCAGGCATCACCCCTAATAAGTGAACCTGTTTGTAAGATATGCATAAGGGCAGTAGTATCAAGAATGAAATTGTTGTTGTTGACTGTGAAGCAGAGTAATAGGAGTCAGAACATGCTGAACAGGAGGGGTGCTCAGCAATGTAGTCACCTCCCTGGTGACAGCCGCGTTGCAGAGGTGGAAGTTGGTATATGCAATTGCCAGAGAGGCTTAAACCATTACTTTTTAGTTCTCATCCCTTTTTTCAGCACAATTTTAATGCATTTTCTTTAATGTCTCGTTGCCAATAGGTTAATGATCCTGCTATGAGGGGAGGCAATCTTTTTCCAAACCAGCTGCCTGGAATGGATATGATAAAGCAGGACGGAGATGCAGCACGGGTAAGAAGTGACATGTATAGGCACGAAGAGGGAAGTGAACAATCAGTATAGTGTGGTCCAGTATGCATACAGTATGTATTTACTTACAAAGTTAAAAGTAGCCAGGATGCTAGTAATTTTATTTAAAATAACACAAAAAATTCACTGTTTTTTCATCATCTTTTGGTGACATCTCTATGTTCCTTATTAAATCCCTCTAGTATTATTGAAGTGAATAATAGAGAATACATTAACACATACCAAATCAACAGTTATGTTCAGCAGACTTTTATTTATAGTTTATTTGCATTTTACAAAGCAATTACATGGCTACTTTTCAGTGGTGGGGAGGACTTGCTGGTGATTTATACTTCGCTGCCACATGCTTAACCCATTTTGTGGCTTGTCCTGCCTAAGTGTTTTTTCACTTTTCATTGCATTATACTTAGGGCACCAATTTTACTAATTACTTTATCTATTGCTCTCTATACCATGCTCGTTCTGAGCAGGGTAGCAATCCTGAACTGATTTTTACACACAATTACTCCAACTGATGCAGTAACTTGCAGTAGCGGAGGTCAAAAACGAGTTGGATTCCAGGGGGTATTGGTGTTAAAGGAAATTAAAGGAAAGCTGCAGTAGAGTTCCTGGCATCTGGCCAGGTGTACGAGGTGATTTTTATTTGTCCCCAGCCCTGTGGAAGGTTTTTATGGATAAGAAACCTGTATTTGATGGAGTGTGTCACACCAAACCCAGTGCTCTTGAGGGCTGATGCCGTTTGCAGCCAGGGGACGGTGTTTTCTCCGCGTGACCCGAGCACTGCGGAGCCGCGCGGGCCCCAGCGCAGGCTGGAAGCCCCATCTAGTGGCTGCGACGCCCACGGCCGCTTCTGAGGGGGGAAGGGACCTCTGGAGATCATCGAGGCCAACCCCCCTGCTCCCGCAGGGACACCTGGCACAGGGTGGCATCCAGGCGGGTTTGGAAGATCTCCAGAGAAGGAGACTCCACAGCCTCTCTGGGCAGCCTGTTCCAGGGCTCTGTCACCCTCACAGTGAGGAAGTTCTTCCTCACATGGAGGTGAAACTTCCCATGTCTCAGTTTGTGCTGCTCACCTGGAAACACAGCGCAAGGGAAGCGGGTGTTGTGAGGGGAACGGGCACCTGCCTTGCCTGAGGTTTTCTCCTCATGTTTTGGTTAATATTGGCATTAGTGATCTCTTTTTCCTTCTGATCAAAAACTTTTAGTCAAAGTTGATTTGGGCATAATAAGTTAGGGAGAATGACTGGAGTGTACTGGAGTTACCAGCAGCAGAAGAAAAAGATCTGAGTAAGCAGGACTCTGAGGGAAACTGCATTTACTTAAGTTATTGAAATGTCTCACTCTGTGCAAACAGCTGTCTGAAAGTAATCAAAATAGGCAGATCTAACCTGTTATTTCTCCAGGAGCTACTTTATGCCCTGCTGGAGGTCCATCCTGTGCATCATTATTTGCTGTCCTCTCTTTGTATGCAGTGTTGAAATCAGAAAGATGGAATTAAATACACAAAATTTCCTCTAACATTGAATTCAATAGCACAAATTTAAAAGTTTTTCTGCTCTTAGGAAAAAGAAAATTGAATAATAGGAGAAAGCAAAATATGTTGAGATTAATAAAAACAAAGGGCATTAAAGTACTGAAAAAGTAGTAATAATCTAATATGTATTTTATTGTATTTTTTACACTTACATGTGTTTTAAACTCCTTGGAGGCCAATTCTTTTCAATGCCTTAGGCATTCACATGAGAAGTGTCTCGAGGAGTGGAGGTTTCTGTGAATGGAGAAACTTTTCTACAACCTTTTTACAGTCACTTTGCTGAGAAAAAGACACAGAATGTCCTCTTTTAGCTGATGTATTCCAAGGAATCATTAGTTACTTGGTGCATTCTTTATGCTGTAAAATTCCTCATGTAAAATAGGAGTCAGACTAGCAGAGAAAACCAAGCAGAGGGTACCAATGAGGAAAGCAAGGAGAGGCCTGGGGGTGTGGGAGAGAGGGTGGAGAAAAAAACAGGAGGAAAAAACATGAGAAAAAAAAACAGGAGAGGAGTGAGAGGAGAGAGTTGTAAGGGCAGGAGGAAGAAACTGTGGGGCAGGACCTTGGCTGGAGCTAAGTGTCCTGTGGGTAAAGGTGCTGCTGAGGGGGCTGAAGTTAAAGCAATGGGCTCTGCGCCGTGGCAGTAAAATGGCCAGGGGCCCTGCCTGGCAGCAGTAGGGATTCACTTAGAAATAATAATAAAGCAGCATCTTAAACAGCTGGAATTATTTTGCAAGGTTACAATTATGACATCCCGTGCAGTACAGATATTAATTTTATGCCACTGCCACAACTCTGATACTGTCATGGAAAACTCGAAAAGCCCAAGTTTGAGATCAGCCTCTCGTAGGCCGTACTGCTTTGCCTTTACATGGAGGCTGCAAACAGCAGAGTTTTTATAATATCCAGGATCAGTGGAATGAGATAAGGCCCTTCAGATGGAGTGAAGCAAACCCTATGGATTTCACGGGCCTGTTGCACCGGTGCGCACAGAGAGGTCTCACTCTGTGCACGGAAATGAAGTTTCCCAGGAACGTGTTATGTGGATAAAACCAGGGGGGTCGCAGCCCGCTCCGCGCGTCGCGGGGGAAGGAGAGGGCGCGGGCAGCCCCGGCCCCGCTCCCCTGGCTGCCCTCGCGGGCAGGAAGCGCTCACTCCTCTTCCCCAACCTCTGCTTTTTT